ATAGTCATTCAGACCAGTCACTGTAGAGCTTTTTGGGACTGGGATGATGGTGGCAGTCTTCAGGCAGGTAGGAACTGTCTCCAGGGTAAGTGAGGTGTTAAAGATGTCTGCCAGCACCTCACAGAGCTGATCAGCACATTCCTTCAACACTTTTCCGGGGATGTTGTCTGGGCCGGTTGCTTTGTGCAGATTAATCCTCCTGAAAGTACTCTGTGGTCTGTAGTCTGTGTTCAAATGCAGAAAATTTAGGGTCATCCAGGTTTTATGTCTTTAAGACATGCTTGTAGTCTAAGTAGCTGATTGGATTTATTGGGTTTCATGGACAAATATAATTGTGTATCATCAGCATAACAATGAAAAGTTAGGCAGGCAGAGTAAAGTGGATGGAGGCAGGAGTTCACCAGTCAGAGATGATTAGTGACAAAACAACCACTTTTAGCCAAAGAAATGACTTTTGATACTTGTTAGTTTGACAGACAACAGCAGTTTTCTTACACCTTTCTTTATATTCGCCACAACAAGGGACAGTTTGGTAGATGTCATATCAAATTACAGTACATGCTGATGTTTGTTGAACTGTTGTTTCAATTCATCACTGAGATTAAAAAGTACATATTTAAATCGGACTTTAAACAACTGTGATACTATTCATAAGAATGTTATTTTGCAGGTACAATAGCCTACCTTTTCTTCACAAACCGTCATGAAGTCAGAAAGATGACTTTGGACAGAAGTGAATACACAAGAGTAATTCCTCGTCTGAAAAATGTGGTGGCTCTCGACATGAACATGGCCACCAAAGAGATCTACTGGTCAGACATTTCCAACAAAAAAATCTATAGGTAAACAAAACTGAACCAAGAATTAGGTCAAAATATGCTTTTTGGTGTTATTTCTCTTGTTTGATATCTGTTTTCATTTTCAATCCAGAGCTCCGATGGACTCGGCTGAGAACTCCTCTCATCACCACGTAGTGATAAGTAATGATATCGATGCTCCTGAAGGAATTGCTTTCGACTGGATTCACGGTAACCTGTACTGGACTGACAGCATTCGCAGAACTATCTCCGTGGTAACGGCTGATGGCAGCCACCGCAAAACTCTCTTCCACAAAAACCTGTCAAAGCCCCGCGCTGTCGTGGTGGACCCTCACAGCAAGTAAGCTCATGGCAAAGGTTTTCTTTATGTTTGTACAATCCACACAGGTTGGTGTATTGTGACGATTCAATTTACGTTCTAATCCGACAGCTTCATTTATTGGACAGACTGGGGAAACCCAGCAAAGATTGAGAAGGGAGGTCTTAATGGAGTGGATCGTTCCTCTCTGGTCACTGACAACATTGTGTGGCCTAATGGCATCACATTAGGTAAATACAAGGATTCACAGCCCAATGCTTTCAGTTTGCTTATTCATTTATGTATGCACACTTAATGGTGACACTGGTCAAACTCATTGCCCCCACGCCCTTTTCTCTGCTGTTCCAACCACCATTACCACCCACTTACTTCCTCTCCAGACCTACTAAACCAGCGGCTCTACTGGGTGGACTCTAAGCTGCACACCCTGTCCAGTATTGACGTTCAGGGCGATGGACGCCGTAGCCTCATCATTGACGAGCACCAGTTGGCTCACCCACTGGCACTTACTGTGTTTGAGGTAGAACTTTACGAGTGACTCAACAAAACATTGCTTTCCTTAACATTTTAAATGTTCAAGCTTTGGGTTTTGTGTTTGTCAGGAAAGAGTGTTCTGGACGGATGTTAGTAACAATGCCATCCTCAGTGCTAACAGGCTGACTGGTGATGACATCACACCAGTGGCAGAGCACCTGTCATCACCAGAGGACATCATTCTTTATCATAACCTCAAACAACCTGCTGGTAAGAGAGTTATACCACTAAAATACCATTAAAAAACGAATTAGTATTTATAGAAGTACTTAATATTTACTTAAAGGAACTGTGACTGTGAGGTAAGGGAGTTTTTTTTTTTACACTGTCATTAAAAGAGTTGATCAAATATACAATACAGACTAGCAGTAATTTTTTTTGTTTTTCGTTATTATTCACTTTGCTGTTTATGACAGTTTCTGTCTTAACAATTTCTTAATTTAAAACCAAAAAACTAGAACTTTTTTTTGCCACTGGATGCTTGGAACAGCATGAAAGTTTAAATAAAAACTTAAATCGGTTTTATTTTGTCAACTCCTAACAATTAATCTTACCAGGTCCAAGTTTTCATTTTAATAGTTTATGGTGGAAATAATTTACTTTGTTTCTTTGCCTGTTTGTATTTTTGCTGTTTTCATCAACGTACCAAACCTTTGTGGGTACAAAAATGACTCTCCAGCCATAAATCTTTTGTTACGTGTCTCCGAGTCCCTTGGTACCTGATATTACCGTATAATTTCTGGATAGAGTTTGGTTAGAATTAGAGCTAGGAACACTGGGTAAGTGCATTAACAAGGTTCCAGTTAAAGTAAATATTTATTTTAAAGTAAAAAATATGGTAATTTGGTTAAGATTAGTGTTGGGATAACTAAGGGAGGCACAAAGGTACAAATGTGGCTACAAATGAGCATTTTTAAATAAATAGTCATCTATGTACTTCTTCAAAACATTTAAATAAAGGAGAACCAGACACAATGGGTACAAAATGGTAACGATAGGGTACAACATGGAAGTTACAAAGTGGCGAAGAAACAAAGTAACCTAAACTGTTTATGCTCCAGTAAAAATTGGGAGACTTCACTCTAAATGTTTACCAAGTCTAAAATATGGCGGTGGTGTGGGTTGTTGTAATGATATAATGTTTCAGAGATGATATGCTATCTGCTGTATCTATGACTACAAAGATACTATTAGATCTGAAGGAAAAAGTTTTTTTTAACAAATATTGACAACATTCACCATGTTTTGCACAATACAGATCATTGGCTAGAAAAATAAACATAAAATTCTATTTAAAGCCTTTGTTTCCATATTTTCAGGTGATTAAAATGCTATTAGTTGGATTTTCCTGCTGAATAGATCCAGGCTTGTTTCCCCACCTTCTGTGCCAAGCCAGCTCTGGGTTTTAACTTAATAGTTTTATTTTTCACACAGATAGTGACACTGGTACATACCTATTTATAAAACACGTTTATAAAATCATGCATTTGTACGAAACCTCGACAATGCTTATAACAGCTTCACAGCTTTAAAATGGATGAGCTAAAACAACATTCTCTTTCTTTTTGCAGGAAGAAATTGGTGTCAGATGTCCAATGCCAGTTGTGAATTCATGTGCCTACCTGCCCCTCAAGTAGGACGCCACCCCCCAAAATACACTTGTGTCTGTCCAGATGGCATGATGCTAGCCAAGGACATGAGGACATGTGTGCCTGGTGGGTGAATGTCACGAGAAAAGTTAACAATTTAAAGTGGAAAATTATAAAATCATGTCAATTTATTAATCAAATGAAGCAGAAAAGCGGGTAAAGAGAATGGATGGATGGGTGGATGATAGTTACATTTGAATCTGGTCACATCTCCTTTTCTGTATTTCACCAGCTGTGCCAACTCCTGCTGCTCCCGTAGAGCCTGAACCCCCTTCTACACGTCCTCCTCATCGATCTCTGGTACCACCCAGAACCACACCAAAAACCACATTAGAGCCACAGATCCATACCACAGTGCCCCCTGTAATCACAAGCACCACCACAAAGCCACTGCGACACACCACCTTGCCTCCTGTTAGGACTTCCACACCTTTACCAAAGAAGCCCTCGCCTCAGCCGGAGAAGCCTGAACTCTTGCAGACCACCACAGGGGCTCCTGTCACCTCTCAAAGCAAGTTAACAAAGAGTTCATTCTGAAAGTGTTTGATCATTTTGGTTTAGTTTTAGTCTTTTGAGCAGTTGTGTTCATCATAAACTTAAATTATTCTTACCTTTCCTTGTAGGTGTTCGACCTGTTGCAGCAGCAGTTATACCCACAACTGCCTCCACCTCCCCAGTAGCTCTTTACCTCGTCTTACCTCTGGGTACAATGCTTTAGTGTCTACTGTTACTCAGGTTTCTGCTTACCAACTGGTAGCAACCTTGACTTCTCTCGTTTTGTCTTTCTAATAGCCATCGCTTGTCTGATGGCCATTGGTGGTGTGCTGCTGTGGAGGAACTACAGGTTGCGGAACACCAACACAATTCACTTTCAGAACCCTGTTTATCAGAAAGCCACCGAAGACCAGGTGCACATCTGGAAGAGGCAAAGCTTTGATGGTTATGCATACCCTAAAGTAAGTCTACTAAGGTATTTCTCAGATGACTGTGTAAATATGTCCCTTTTCATAATCAGCACCTGCACTGACACAATGGATGTTAAGCACCTAGAAGGAGTTTGGAAATAATTTGGTCCTTATGGATACCAGTGTTACTTGATTTAGAGATGGTACTTGATGGAGGTTGATAGAGGTCACAGTGAGGGTTTGATGAGGTCAGGTGTACCGTGCCTGACATGCAGGGTATATCGTTCCATTGGCTCGATGGAACTAAAGGGTATGAGGTCACCCTGTACGTCAAGAACGTTCTAGTAATCTAATGCAAACTCGTAAAGGAAAGATTACAGAACCACGAGACATTTGCACCTGTCACCAAGCAGGTATTTGCCTCTCCTTGTGTCATCCTGGATTGTGTCTCAACAACTGACTGCAGCTGCAGGTTGATGGAGCAGAGATGGCTGTGTGGATGTGTTTAGACTGCATGGATTAATGTAATCCATCGCCGTGGTGGATTTCTGTCATTTTGAACGTGGCCAGGACAGATTTCCATCATCTGTAAAAGTGACGAGGGGAAAACAACGTGTTTTGTTGTGGTCCTACCAACCCATCTAATGACGATACAGGGATTAAACTGATGCTGCTTTCAACCAACAAAGAGAAGAAGAGTGGAGCTGCATTTGGGTCCAAAAAATACAATCTGACCCGGCCCAAGCCCATAGCCATCATTTCAGAACACAACTTGATCCGACAAATTAACAGTAATTACAGGTCCACCCCCCCCCCCCCCCCCCCCAACCGACATTTTAAATTAAGCTTATAGTTATTAACGCGCGCGGCTGAATAAAGGGAGCAGAAGATTGGAGCTGAGGGGGTGTTTGTCATTTCATGGCCGCCAAAGCACATCAAATGCTTCCCCTGCTTCTGCCTGCATTGGACCCGGCTCTGACGTGTCGGATATTTTGTGATCTCACCTGTTTGGGTCGTCGGCCGCGCGCGTCCACTGAGTGCAGCGGCTGAATCACAGAGCGGCTGAACGAACGTCCATTTGGGCGATGGATCGCTGGCAGTAGTCCATCTGAAGCTTAACTGAACTTTTTACCTGTTTCAAGGCCGGTCAGCCGCGTGTGTCTGGTGATAGTATGGCAAGCCATGTTGCCATATAATGGGATCACAGGGTCTGCCTGCAGGTCATCCTCTGGTGGTGATCCAGTGGACCCTGACAGCACAGCTCTACGTCAGTCTCATCCTCTGTACAAATGTGTTACCCCTCCTGAGGCAGAGCCCTACAGTCTTCCCACAAGACCACCCCAGTCCACACACTCCATGTACGGACTGCCTGCATCATGTTTGGGTTGTTGCCTGCCAGGTCTTTCCCCTCATCAGACAAATGTGGGATCAAGTCAGATCTAAAGTCCAGTGCTGTGCTGAGCTGCTGAATGTTAAGGTCCGGTTCCAGCCGCTGTGGGTCTGTTCGCAGGATGCAACAGCTGTACGACTTTATTTAGCTCTGAATCGTAGCTTGTATCCAGACCTGAGGAGGTGTGGCACCTCACTGACATGGGACGTGTCGTGCGCACCCGACCTGACGTCCATTTGATCCGATGTGATTTTAACACGCGCGGTGGTCTTTCATTGCTACATCTCAGTGCCTATGTTTTATTTGTCAGTGAATCTATTTTATATCTTAACTTGTTTTTATTTCTGTCTTCTCAGAGACAAATTGTGAGTTTGGATGAAGAGGCGGACAATCCAGCCTTCACTGAATACTGACAGATGTCAGGCGGAGTGGAAAACGAACATTCAGCCTTTTAACCTCTCGGAGCACAAACACACGGCAGGTGAAGCTTGATCTGCCAACTCTGAACCACTATATCCTAAGTGCCGAACCTTTTCAGGGTTCAACAGAACAAACCGAAACACCTCAGTCTACTTCTCTTTATACTTTAAAGGTGACTCTGATGGTCACAGCGATTGTTGAAGCTCTTTCTTTATGTGGATCATTCTGACTGGTCTATTCTTCAAAGCTGCGTGAAGCAGAAACACGTGCTGTAAATATCAGTCCAGTTGAAAGCGATTGATGGAGTCTCGTTGCACTATTCAAAATTTAAAGCCGATAAGGAAAAACATGCAGTCATGCACCGGAGGAGGGACTTAGTTACTTAAACCAACCGAACCAGGAAGTGTTTGTCGTCTTTTTTGCCAATCTGCTGACTGTAACATTATCACCGCACAGAATCTTACCGACCTGTCAAGCTTTTCCGCTTCCGTTTATCGTATGGTAATTTATGTACCCGCTCAACCACGGTGACCTCGGTATGTCTCGTGTGTGTCATTTTGACTTTTGCAAAAACAAAAGCATTCAAAAAGAGTCGAGGACCCCAAAGGAGAGCGTCTTGACTACACCCAAACATCGCCACATGGTCTCTAAGATCATTTTCAGATGCCCTCGAAGGCCCAATATTTAAACGTACGTTTTTAAACGGTGTGTTTTTTTTTCTAGACCAGTGCATGCCTTTAAGGCTGGAGAACTTGGATGCAGCCATGTGTGACCGTACGGTCGAGTCTATTGCATCATCCTGTTTATATTTCTGTGCTCCCTCAGGACCAGTTATACCAGCGTTCCTTATGAAAGATGTTCCCCAGTGAGATTTAAAAGATGATTTCAGCAGCTCTCTGTTATTATTTCTTTTTGAACAGATGTTTACGTTCTTTTGATGTCACATTGTTACACGTCGGTGAGCTTAATGCTTAAAGAGATACTTTGGCTGTTTTAGAAAAGGGATTTGAGTGAAAGTTATGAACAATTAATATCTTACCTGTTGAAGATGGCTCTTGGAATGACCTCAGCTTGGAGGAGCAGTTGAATTCTGACAGCTAACGGGCTCACGGCTGGCCCGTCTGACACGATCTCATCATGTTTCTGCTGGAATATTCACAGAATGTGAAT